AAAAAAATATTAAAAAAAAGATGAAATAGTGGACAATTTTAATCTTTTATTCAACTATCATGATGTTGTCTACAGTGGTAAGATTTTTTTTCTTGATGTTGAGTTGCAATCCATACTGAAGAGTGCATTTTTTTTATCTTCTGTAGAAAGTGTTGCAAGTACCCCTCACTTTCAGGAAGTAAGGTTGTAGCATGTGCATAACACAGGTTATTGATGAGTTTTCCTCTACTCCTGATGCCACATTCTTCAGAGTTCAGCTTCTCAAATAATTTTCTCAGCATACAGACCGAATAAGTATGGATATAGAATACAACCGACTCACTCCCTTCTTAATTTTAAATTACGTAGTGCTTCCTTGCTTTGTTTGCACAACAGCCACTTGGTCTAGACATAGGTTTTGCATAAGCATAATTAAATGTGTTCTGGGATTCTCACTTTTCTCACTGTTAGCCATAATTTGTTATGATCCACACAATCAACTGTTTTTGTATAGTCAATAAGGCATAAACGGACATTCTTCTGGTATTCTTGACTTTCAGCGAGAATCCATCTGACATCAGCAATGCTTTTGTATCTGGTGGCATCCCTCATGCCACCAGCTCTTCCAAATCCTTCTTGAACTTCTGGAAGTTCTCTATCAATGTTCTAGTAGTTAGTTTTTGTTTTTTTTTTTCAAGTGAGATTTTAAGGAAAGTTTAGAGAGAACTTCAATTTCTATTCATTCATTGTTGTCCATTTTCCTCCCTGTCCACCCCAACTCCTCAGTTTGCTTTTCTCTTTGAAAAAAATTCTTTCATTGTTATACAATCCTTCCACCCTAGTCCATTTTACTATGCAGCTCTTATTCCAGACTGTTGTCATGCAAATAATACTAAATAATATATTTCTTTTAAGCAGTTCTATTCCTCATCTGTTTCAATGCAGTGGACATTATTTATCTCCTCTTTTCTTAGTTTACCCCTAACCCCAATGTCAGTCCTGTTTTATAACAGTGGCATTATGCAGTATTTGTCCTTTTGTGACTGAGATATTTCACTCAGCCTAATGTCTTTTAGGGTCACCCATTTTGTATAATACTTCATGAGTTGTTTTTCTGTGCTTCACAGTATTCCATTGTGTGCATATATTATAGCTTCTTTATCCATTCGTTTGTTGATGAGTACTTGGGTTGTTTCCAGCTCTTTGCTATTGAGAACAATGCAGCAATAAACATGGGTGTGGGTGGCAGTTTTGATTTCTTTAGGGTATATTCCCAGTAGTGGAATTGCTGGGTCAAGTGGTATTTTTATTTCCAACTTTTTGGGGAAGCGCCATACTGCCTTCCAGAGTGGTTGCACCATTTTACACTGCTACCAACAGTGAATAAGGGTTCCAGTTCCTCCAATACCTCACCAGCATCTGTTGTTTCTATACTCTTCGAGTAGTTTCTCAATGATTTTCAGCAGTATTTTCCTTGCATGTAATATTAACTATATTGTTCAATAATTTCCACATTCTAGTATTGCTTTCTAGGGAATGGGAACAAATACAGATCTCTTCCAGTCAGTCA